ATTCAAAGCCCAAGGGGGAAAACCCAGAATGCGTCCTCCTTTTCCAGGACAGGTCCTACATTCCACCTTTTCCTCCAGGAGGAATTCCACAATGTCCTCCATTTGGAGCAAGACCAAGAAGCATGGCTTTACATGCACCTGGCTTTTCTTTGCTCATGTCCTGGACAGAGTGACCGGGCGTCCTCCTTTTTCCAGAAGAGGTCCTCCATTTCATCCTTCTGTCCAGGAGGGGTTCCACAATGCCCCCCTCCATTTGGACCATGACTGACAAGCATGGACTTACATTTTTATATGAGTGTGTTTAGCTTTTCTTTGGTCATGTCCTCCAGTGTGCGGTGCCTTGTCCTCCTTTGCAGTGAGGAGGGCACCTGGTCAACCTGGTGGAGCCTGTCAGGTGTTTTGGCATAGCTCTAAGGGAGGTGTTGTGGCTCAAAGGGAAGGATTCGTAAGGCACAGTTCCTTGGTAGGTCAGGCCCAAGTGCTGTTCCTTTCGAGCAGTGGTCCCCAAACTGGGCCCTTTAAGAGATTTTGAACTTCAGCTCCCAGAATCCCAGACTATTGGGCAACATGACTAAGGCTTCTGGGAGCTGAAGTCCAAAATCCCTTAAAGAGCACAGTTTGGGGACCACTGCGTGTTTCTTACTGCTTGAAACTTAACATGGTCTAAGACAGGGGTAGGCAACCTTTCCCCTTTAAGGGCCGAGGGACTTCAGCACCCAGAATCCCAGGAGCTATTGGCCAACATGGGACTATTGGCCAACATGGCGGAGGCTTCTGGGAGCTGAAGTCCCTCGGCCTTTAAAGAGGAAAGGTTGCCTACCCCTGGTCTAAGATCTTTATCCCTGTCCCTCTCTGTGGAAGGTTATTTCTCCGTGGTATTCTTTAAAAGGGACCTAGGTGTGTTCATAGAAAGCCAGCATGCCATAGTGGTTTGAATGCTGGACTATGACTCTGGAGACCAGGGTTCGAATCCCCGCTTGGTCATAGAAACCCACTGGTCATAGTCCCACTCTCTCTGCCTCAGAGAATGGCAATTGCAAACCCCTTCTGAAGAAACTTGTCAAAAAAACAAAAACCCATTGATAGGTTTGCTTTAGGCGCAGGGGTAGGCAACCTTTCCCCTTTAAGGGCCGAGGGACTTCAGCTCCCAGAATCCCAGACTATTGGCCAACATGGCTGAGGCTTCTGGGAGCTGAAGTCCCTTGGCCCTTAAAGGGGGCAGTTTGCCTACCCCTGCGTAGGGTCTCCATAAGTAAAAAATGGAGAGGGCTAGTGTGATGTAGTGGTTTGAATGTTGGACCTATGACTTCTGGACACCAGGTAGAATTAAAAGATATAGCCATGTTAGTCTATAGAATCAGTGTCTAGAGAGATCTTGTAGCACTCATGCTGCCAATTTCTTTCTTTCAGTTAGTCTCAAAGGTTCTACAAGATCTCTCTCTGAACACTAGGGTTTGATTCCCAGCTTGGCCATGAAACCCACTGGGTGACCTTGGGCAAACCACATGTTCTCAGCCTCAGTGGAAGGCATTGACAAGCCCTTGCTGAAGGAACTTAAAAAAAAACACAGAACCCTTATGATATGTTTTCCTTAGGATCGCCATAAGTCAAAATTTGGGAGAGCCAATGTGGTGTAGCGGATTGAGTGTTGGACTACCACTCTGCAGACCAGAGTTCAATTTCCAGCCCTGAAACCCATTGGGTGACCTTGGCATGTCACACTATTAGTCTCAGAGAATGTCAGTTGCAAACCCCCTCTGAAGAAACTTGCCCAGAGTTTACTTTAGAGTCGACATAAGTTGGGAAGGACTTGGAAAGCAACAGCAACAGTGTGTATTCTTGCATTGTAGCTAGATGATTTCTGCAGTCCTGGGTCATGGCAGTTTCCCTCCATTCATGCCACGGGGGGAACAATATGGGGTCAGCATTCCTATGTGAACTATAAACTAGACTGCCGCTGAGAATGCTGTGCAGAAAGAGGTCTTTTCTCTTCCCATTGGTACTGTGCCTGTTCCTTTTTGGAAATTACCGAATGCACATATGCCTCTAATGGCCATTATGCAAGCTATAACTGGGTTGCAGTTTTTTCTGTAATAGTTATGTGCCTTGTGTCTCTTGCACAGATCTGGGTGTGCTTCTGTATTATCAATGTTAGCAGTATAAGATTGATTTCACTCATTAATAAACCACCACAAAATTGCTTGAGTTTTTTGTGTGTTGCACCTGCTAATACACTCTAAAGGAGGTCTTGTGCTATCAACATATTTTTAACCAACTTTAGCTCTTTATTGAGTATTCCTGTCCCAAGATCCTCACCAAATTCTTCTGGTGCTATTTAGTAGGAATTCATGAATAGGTAGGTGGGTGCTGCTTCTACTTTGTGCTCCTGTTTTGTCTGGTTTTCCAAGAATTACCTTTGTGCAGCTTTGTAATTGCCATAATAGCTGGAATGGAAACTGAACGTGGGAACTTTGACTTCTACACAGATAGATGCAGTCAAAACTTTCACTTCAGATTTACTGCAGAACCTCCTTGTGCACAAAATAGTGTGTCCTTTTTATTTGCATTGCTCTGAATTTAAATCTAAATTCTCTGAAGATGCCAGCCACAGATGCTGGTGAAATGTCAGAAAGAAACTCTTCTAGAACATGGCCACACAGCCCAAAAAACCCACAAAAAACTATAAATCTAAATAGTGTACACAGGTAAAAAAACTGAGAGCCATTAGAAGTTTTCTTGGGGTGATGATATTTTCCTGTTTATGTGAACTGAAGCAGAGCTGAATTAGCTTAGACAGTTTATTTTATTTTTTCCAAAGTCAAATTTGAAAGCTTTCATCCGTCTCAAGAAAACATTTTGTTCTGGGGACTGAGAAGTACTGAACACTTTTTGCAGTATTTATCTAATAATCTCATATACAATAATCATTTTTTAAAAAGTTAACTTCAGTTTGAATGTGTGGCCAAAGCTTTGATTCCCTCACAAGCAGACAATAACAGTTAAACTAGGTTTTTTTCATATGTTTTGGCAAATTCTGTTCTTAACTGTATGTACATTTGTTTGCTTTGCTGTGCCCATGGGCACAAGTGGCATACATCCTTGGTCCAGAACACACTACAGAAATAATCCAGTTTGAGACCGCTTTAACACTTCTGACTCAATGCCAGGGAATTCTGGGAACTAGTTTTGCAAGACATTTTGTCTTCTCTATCAAAGAGCTCTGGTGCCACAATTAACTACAATTCTCAAGATTCCCTGGCACTGAGCCAGGGCAGTTAAAGCGGTCTCAGACTGGATTATTTCTGCAGTGTGTTTTGGACCCTTGTCTGAAATCCAGCTTTCCAGAAAAGCATTGTATTTACCCTAGGCACAATATCCCTGAAAATGTTTCCATAAGATGTACAGTTACCATCAACCTGGACAGTGAAATCTTGAGTGAGATGAACTAATGCACCACCTACATGAACATTTCAAACCAGAATTTTTCCAAATCCTTAAAAAATACTTGTGGAATTGGCCTTACCAGTCACTGTAACAGTATTTTTAAATACAATTAAAATAAGGTTTAATCAGATCTTGAATAGCCTCTTATACTCATACCTGTCACAGTATTTTGCCTTTGGGATATGCTTAGGTAGCATCTTTCTTGCACTATTATCAGTGTAAATTGAAAGGCTTGTCTTCCCCATATGTTGTGTTTCTCTCCAGGGGAACAGTGGCTTCCACAACTTAAGATAGAGTGCTAATGTTGCTGTGAATGCTTTTTTCATTTCAAAAAGCAGGTTTGAAATGTACAGATTGATCTTAGATACTGTACATACTTTGTGCATCAGGCAGGAGTTTTAGATTTTCCCCAGTCCACATTTATAAAATTAGATAAGCCAAAATTATAAATCTAGGCTTCTCAAATAGCCAGAGCTGTTTGTTACTTAAGCTATTTAACCCAAGATGCAGCTCTTATATATTCCAGATCCCATTCTGTTTCTTGTGTGGCTTTCCTATGTTACACAAAAAACTGAGTGTATGTAATATGCAGTCACGTATGTGCTAATTGTTGTCTATTATAGACCCTTGGATTTCAGGTTGGTTCAAATCAGATTAAACCAGAGCTTAGAAATATTACTTTTTGAGACAAGTTTCTAAGATACCCTAACCCAGAGGTAGGCAACCTTTTTTAGCTGGGGGCTGGGTTGCTGTTCCTCAGACAATTGGGGGGCCGAAACACC